GGAAAATGGCCGTGGACCACGTGTCGGGTGGGAAAATGGCCACGGACCATGTGTCCGGGGCAGAAAAATGGCCGCGGACAACGTGTCAGGACGGAAAAATAACCATACCCCGAGGCGGAGTTCGCACATCGAGGTAAATTTTTGCGGCTGGAGGTGGTCGTAACCCGAAAAGTTCGTTAGTAGAGGCATTCGTATCCCGAGGTACAACTGTACATACATTCCGCCTTGGCAGGTTCTTGTGGTGGGTCAGAAAGCCGCGTCTTTCCCTTGTTCTGCAAAAATGACGGTTGGCTTCCTTCTGTACCAATAACAAATACACTCTCCCTCAACCTTTCAAAAAAGTATTTAGATTAACTTGGGAGGGAGGGAGGGAGAAAATGGGACAGGACAAACACTGAAGTGGGTAAATGTGATTGGAATCTGACAAAATAGAAGAACTCTAAAAATATGGTAAGCAGCCAAATCAGGATACAGAGATACCTATATCAGTTCACAGTAAGTTGAAGCCATTTCAGGAAACCAAAAAAATACGCTTCCCTGGAGGGAGATGCATCTGCTTCAGGCCTTTAAATTCCTAAAGTAAGTTAATAATCTCCTAACAGCTTTTGTGAATAAATCATGACTTTATTTATGCACAGCCTCAATTCAACTAGACCCTAGGAGGTTTACAACAACACAACAATAACAATACAAATGCAGTAACATAAAATATAAGCAATATATAACTGTAATAAAAATGAGTGTACAAAACAAAATCAGTCCGAAAGAAAAGCAGGTCTTTGCCACTTTCCAGAGGACATCAGAGCAGGTGCCATCTTTGTTTCAGAAGGTCAGCGATTCCACCCAGAGAACAGTCACCTTTGGGGGCCCTCCTGTCACACCTCCTGGAAGGTGGGGGACCCTGAGCAGACATGCTATGACTGTCTAGACCAGGAGGGTAGATTTGATCAGGGAAAGGCGCTTTACTCCTCAGGCCCTAAGTCATTTGAATGTTAAATTATAGTTTTCAAGACTTCTCTTTCAGCTCTGAGCTCTCAAGGGTTTCAGCCTATTGGTAAGGCTCCCAGCTGATTCTAGGCAAGCACAGCGCTACAGTTGAAAACCCACAACTAGAGAAGCTATTCCTTATAACTGGAGTAACAGATGCTGCCAAGGACACAGTCAGTCTTTTTTGTATTTAGGTATTCTTTTCTCTTACAGCCAACCGTGGTTTTTGTGCCTTACCACATCAACGGAGATGCAGCAGTCGCTGTTGAACCCGATCCTCCTCCTCCACCATCCTATGATAATGTGGTTACCAAGCCACAGTAAAAAAATACACCAGGAAGGAATTGTGAGAAGTGTTGCATCAGAGGTCTCAGGAGGAGCAATGCATTTCATGTTCTTTTATTTAGTTCTCCAGCTTCAATTACCTTTAAGCACCAAGTGGTGGAAAGTTTTTATAGTGCTGCTTTTTACCTGAGAGTTACAGTGCTTCTCTGGAAGCAAGAATTTGTGCTCTACATCATCAGCATTGTTTTGAGGAAGTACACTCTCTACAGTGGATGATGTGAGCAGTTTATTAGTCCTTTGTTTATATTGTGGATGGAGAATATTGCATTAAGTAGGAGGTCTGACGCTACAGGAAAAACAGCAAAATTAAAACACAAATTAGTAAAATGTGTCATTGGCACAATAGTAGCAATTACATAGTCACTCTGATCCCAAAACAGATTAGTAGAAGTTTGCATATAACTAAAGTCAACTCTACAGATTTTATGATACTGTTATTTCCTATATATGTACAATAAAACTGAATTAGTAATCTAGTGGAGTGTCTTCATGAAATTGCCTACCCACTAATTCAAATAATGCCCCAGCTGGATGTTCAAGTCTCCTTCCTCCCTGGGAAGATGAATTTAGAGGACAAATTACAGAGAAGGGAGATCAGAAACGCTAAAGCAACATTTATCACCTCCTTCCTGATGCCTCTTCACCAGCCTTAACTGTAACACTGACATATTTACTGGTAGAGTCTCTGGTTCTGCTCTGGTGTTAACTTCTTTAAGGCATTACTTCTTTAAGCCTTTCAGAGCTGCCCCTGGTATTATGTTAAATGCTGCCTCTAAGTCCCTCCAAAAGTACTTGTTCCTCTTTGATTTTTTTGCCCTTGAGCCTCATGCCTTAAGGAATGAGAACTGAAAGCAGCAGGGGGGGTGAGCCTGATCATGGTTTCCTGTAATTGGAGGAATTTCTTTGTGCTATGACAATCTATACTTTTGCTTCAGATATTCAGCATTTTGCCAAGGGGACTTGCTTGTTTTCTGTGGGTCCTGCTAATACTGTACTGTGAGTCCTGACTCTGCACTGGTTTTGTAAGCAATAAAAGAAAGAGTAAGGGGGTGCTTTATTTAAACCAATGGGTTTTTAATATTATTTTTCCCTTCCAATCACAGGGATCTTTTCATTCAGGCCACTTCTTAACAACTGCGGTATTGAGGGTCCGCTCTGTATGAGTCCTTTCTTAGCAGTTTACATTTACTGTATCAGAATACTAAAAAAAAAAACCCGATATTCAAGAGGAAATTCATTTTAATACTAATGCTGTATAGTTTTAATATCAGTTGATTGGGCAGATTTTCTGAATGGAGCAAGCGGTAGTGGGACAAAGTAGATTTTGGTATGTATCAATTACACATTGGCCCAGGCTAGAGGTCTCTGATTCTCAGGAGAGCAAATGAATTTTTGAGATAAGGAACTCCAAAGATTTATTGACAAACATGGTGGACCAGAGAATGGGTTTGGGAGTCACCCTATGAAATCATTCAGAGTGAACCCTGGTGTTAATTTCTGCAGATTAATCTTTTAATCTTAACTGGTGTTCATCTCTGCAGATTAAAGCAGAGATTATCACTAGACATACAATCAGCAGTAAACAATCCCCTAATCAAGGAACTACTAGAGGGAAAAAATAAAACACACCCCATACCCCCACCAACAATGGCAAGACAGGCCACTGTACATAAATAGAGAGCAAACCCCGCTCCATTCTAGCACTGAAGATGTTACCTAGCTGGGTAACAAAATGTTTGCAAGAAAACAACCAAGCTCCCAGATCCCCAAGGACTCCACAGTTCAACCCTGAGCTACAGATATTCTCTTCTATTAGTATCTGACCAGTTAAGAATCTTCCTCCTCCTCCTGGTTATAATATGGTGATTTCTGCTCCAGGTCAGAATGAAAAATCCACAACCAGAACTATGCATCAGAAATCCTAGGAAATATACAATCTCATTCTCCACCACTGCATACATCATATTAAGCAGATTTCAGGACATTAAAACATACCTATCCTTTCCTCAAATATAATTCTTCCTCTATAACGGTGCTTGCTATATCACATGTCTGCTTTCCCCTGAAGCAATGTTTGAACGTAGCAGACAGTTTTGCCAATAAAATGTTGAGCTGTTGTTCCTTTACCAGCTGTGGGCCTGTATTAGCAAGCCTCCAAAACTTCTCCTAAAAGGTGCTTCTCTTCCAAAGTTGAATTCAATTCAGAGTTCAGATTAATGAACAATTGGTTCCATTTGATTTTACGAGCATTTCCAGGATTCACATAGGCAGCTATTAGGAGGCCTAGAATGCTCATATGCAATAAACCTGCTCTTTCTTTAATGTTCCGGTGCAATCTGCAACTAAAAACTCTATGCAGAATATGCACATTGGTTGCAATGTACATATATTGTGTAAAAGTGAAGGGCATTATTTTGATACACACTTTTACTCTCTCTCATAATGTGTGGGTATGCACGTGATAGTGCACTCTATCTTATTTACAAAGGATTAACTTGCTTTGTAAAGAGCACAGCCGTTTCTTTCCCCCACCTTATCTCTTTGTTGAAGGCCGGATTGCCTTCTAAGAGAGCACAGCAGTCCCCCACCCCATTTCCTTAAAAGCAATTAGCCATATGCTTGAAGCCATAAATTAGATCGTACCAGGCAAAGAAGTTGCAATGAGAGAGGCCCTAAATTCCAAAGAAGTTAGATATTTAAACTTAGATTCACCTCTTTAGGCCCACCTTTACTTTTCCCTGGGTCATCCCAAAA